ATCAAAATAGGGGGGGTCCAGTACTCACTGACTCCCCCTATTTTTAGTACGTGCGCCAATGACTTCCAAACGGTATTTTTTCAGGTAATCATTTATTGTTAAAAAAAATTTGTCTCTTATAAAATTTTGATAAAATGATTTGTTTTAGAGATAGTTTAAAATTTAAAACTGATTTTTTTTAATAATTCGAGTAATTGATAAGATATTAAGTTCAAATTCGGTACACTACTTCAACATAAATAGTTACATGTTTTGAGACCAACAAAACAAAAAAACCAAATGTCAAATAATCAAAATAGGGGGGGTCCAGTACTCACTGACTCCCCCTATTTTTAGTACGTGCGCCAATGACTTCCAAACGGTATTTTTTCAGGTAATCATTTATTGTTAAAAAAAATTTGTCTCTTATAAAATTTTGATAAAATGATTTGTTTTAGAGATAATTTGTAAAGTATGGGTCAGTCCATATCAAATCAACCAAAGGTTCTTCCCCCACCATCTCCGATTTTGATAATTTTTGGTAAATTTGTTTACCTCACTAAAAAACACAAAAATCCCATATATGAATTTTTTTCGATGGGTGGTTTTTTATTATTGATTTTTGAAAATCAAAAAATTCCGATAAATTTGGGGTTTGCAAGTACTTACAAAAATAGCGATATCTCGTAAACTATAAAAAGTAGAAAGGTGAGTGATGGCTTATTTTAAAGGCCTATTAGAGACCTTTTTTATGATATATCCCATGACCTAAATTTAAAAAAAAAAAAAAATTAAATTTCAAAAATTTGATATGGATTGACCCATACTTTACAAATTATCTCTAAAACAAATCATTTTATCAAAATTTTATAAGAGACAAAAAATTTTCAACAATAAATGATTACCTGAAAAAATCCCGTTTGGAAGTCATTGGCGCACATACTAAAAAATAGGGGGAGTCAGTGAGTACTGGACCCCCCTATTTTGATTATTTGACAATTTTTTTTTGGTTTGTTGGTCTCAAAAAATGTAACTATTTATGTTGAAGAAGTGTACCGAATTTAAACTTAATATCTTATCAATTACTTGAATTATTAAAAAAAATTAGTTTTAAATTTCAAACTTTGTCGCCCTGTATATCGAACATGAAGCTCTAAATTGAAAAATGGTATTATGAAAGTCTTATTGTTTTAACTCAAAGAATATAAGGTTAACGGATTGACCTCCTTTTCCCGGACACCCTGTATATAAAATGTATATTATACATATATATATATATACATATATATATATATATATATATATATATACATATAATATGTCATATATACATAAAAAAAGTTTAAAGTCTTAGGTTAACACAATTAAAGTGATTTTACATAAAAAATAATATAAATATGGTATATGATATTTTTTTGTATTTTATTTAAAAATTGTTGAAATTTGTTATTAGTGTTATTTTTGATCGCTGATATCTTTGAAACGGTTGACCTGAAGAGCTTTGACCTTCAGATGTTTTTTGTAATGCGTGAAATTGTCTATAACTCCTCCAGCTTGGGTGTTGCGAAAACAAACCATTCCAAAGTTATAAGAATTTAAAATTTAAAAAATAAAAATTCCCGTGTTATAGAAATGGAATAACAAGAAATGAATTGAGGCAAACCTTAATATTAATATTAAGAGCTCAAATATGCGCCAAAATTTTTGTTTTTTAATGTACTATTATTTTTCAACACCATTAGAAAAAAATAATTTTAGTTTTTTTTAAACACCCTAATACACACACAGTTTCAAAAGTTATGCATAACCTGAAATCTCTATTATTATGATAAATTGTACCAAACTACTTTTATTGATCAATTATACAATGAAAATTATTCAGTTGGCACATACTTTTTTTATAAGAACAGAAGTTGTTTTTTTTTAATAAAAAAAAAATAAGAAAATGAATATTTTATTTCTCATTAAAATTAATTTGAACAGTTTTAATACAGCGTATTTCCACCATGGGCGTCACTGCAAGCTTGCATTCGAGCTCTGATACTGCTAACAAGGCGATTAATTGCTTCCTGTGGCAGATTCTCCCATTCTTCTCTTGCGGCAACTGCTAGTTCCTTATGGGTTCTGGGAGGATATCTTCGAGATTGAACAGCTCTGGAGAGCATGTCCCAGGCATGTTCAATTGGGTTCATGTCTGGCGACATCGCAGGCCACTCCAAACGACGAATTCCTTGTGTATCAAGATAGTCATTAACAGCTTGAGTCCTATGTGGGCGGGTATTGTCCTCCATATACACAAAATCTTCACCCACAGCTCCTTGCCATAGTCTTACATGAGGTTCTAAAACCTGTGCGATGTACCTTTGTCCCGTCATAGTCCCGTCAATGAGCACCAATTCCGTACGATCACCTGCCATAATGCCTGCCAAAAAAAAAACACTGCCACCAGGAAGTCTGGGGCGGGCATGCGCTAATTGTGCAGCCCTTGTTGGCTCTCGCCAAACACGAATTCGTCGGCTATCACTATTTATACAGATTCGGGTCTCATCTGAGAAAAGCACATAATTCCAAAATTGTAGAGGGAGCTCTATATGTTCTTGAGCCCACTGGAGGTGGTGCAAAACATGTCTATGTTGGAGCTGGGGCACTCTAATTGGACGACGACACCTCAAACCTGACTCGAAAATTCGTCTTCTGATTGAAGCCAACGATATTCTGACTCCTGTGGCATGCCTGAATTCTCTTTGGAGGGCTGGTATAGACATAGAGGGATTTCTCCGAATGGAAATCCTTATAAATCTATTCTGTTGTTCATTGGTGACTCGTGGTCTACTAGATCGATGCCTATTTTGCACTGAATTGGTCTCCAAAAACCAATTCCATATCCGGGAAACGTCACTCTGAGAAACACCTACTCTGTCCGCTACAAACCGCGGTGAGTGGCCTTCTTCAACTAAAACAATAATTCTGGCACGATCCAACTCAGAAATTAAACGACGATTCATTATTAATCAAGTTTTTTTAAATTTTATTGGGAATAAATTTTTGTGTAATTGACACAAAAGTGAAAACACAACTAAATAGGAGTACAAATTTTTTTAAGAAAAAAAATGTTTACTTTTACATAAAAAAGAGTTACAAAACATGTGATCAACAAACCGATTTATAAAAATGTATACCACGAGAATACGAGGGGTGATGCATAAGTTTTGAAACTATGTGTGTGTATATATATACATTAGGGTGTGTCTAACTAAAAAAACAGGCTAAAAACTTTCTGGAAGGTGAAAAAAGAAGCCTCTAAAAATTTGAGCTCTTAATATTAACATTAAGTGGTGCCTATTCCTACCTTTCCCATTTTCCATTTAAATAACATGAAAAAAAAAATTTCTTGTTTCTTATTTTTGAATTTTGACATTTAAGCATTGTAAAAACGAACTGAAAAATTATTTTGGTAGGAAATTGAACGCTCTACAAAAAAGTACTAATTTATTTTTTCATAGGGTAAGCAAATGTATGAAATTATGACTTTTATTTTATTAAACTAATACTTTTTTATGTCTTAAAAATTATTAAAAAAAAAAATAATTATTTTCGTATAGACAGAAAATAACACTTACATCTCAATTTTTTTCCATTTTATTTTATTTACTATCAAAAAAAGTTATTTGTGTTCAATAAATTTGTTCAATAATTATAATAGATGAAATAAAACAATGAATTTGTTATTGTATTAAAGTTTTAATCTTTCTTTTTTTATAATTTTAAAGTCGATAACTCTGATAAAAGATTATATCGGCTCAGTCGGTATATTACCTTTCTGATTACACAGTGACTAGAGGCACGCTAACGTGCCGCGATTTGAAATGTTAAAGGCAACTTTAAGTTTGAATACCTTCAGAACGGCTCACTCTATGAAAAAATATATTGAAACTTTTTTGTAGAGCGTTCAATGTCCTACCAAAATAATTTTTCAGTTCGTTTTTACAATGCTCAAATGTCAAGCTACAAAAATAAGAGAAAAGAAAAAAAAATTGTCCATGTTATTTAAATGGAAAATGGAAAGTTTTATATTATATCATATAAAGTAATTTATCCCAAATTATATAATTCAAAAAAAATATTTTAACAAAGTTTAGTAGTTTGATATGATTATTTTTTTTCAAGCTATATTTTTTACCTCTGTATTCGTTTTTTTTATTTCTTTTGTTAAAAAAACATTAAAAATTATACTTGAAAAAGGACAACTTTGTGATATGTTAAACAAATATTAGAAATATTACCCAACACCCAAACAAAACACAAAGTGCTTGTGTTTTGTTTTGGTGTTGGGGAATATTTATATATTTATTTTTAAAAATTTCAATTTTTTTTATAAAAAATTAATACTCAAAAAGCTTTTTAGAGACTTGTTTTCAATGGGCCCCCATAAACAACTATCCATTTTTTAGCTTTATATTAATTATTAATTATTTACCAAATTATAACTACTTGGAGAAGTTGGCTAAAATTTGATACTATTTTGAATCCATGCGAATTAGTTAGGTGACTTTAATAAATCAGCAAGTTTAGTAACAAAACAGTTTGAATTTATGTCTCACTCCTTTATAGTCCGAGTTGGTTATTTACGAAAATAATCACATAACTCAGTTTCCCGTTTGCATAAATGTACAGTCATGCTCATATTAAGTCCGTTATTGTTGTATTACCCCTGTCGGATGCTCGTTGCAAGGATGCATTCTACAAATTGTGGGATATTTTGTGGTAAAACAGTAATATATCTAGCCGACTAGTCGCGACTGCTATGGCTCGTAAGTCTTTCTCGCCTAATTTATTTTATATTGTTATGACGGTCCCGGAGTATTAAAATAAAAAACTTTTGAAGTTGGGTTTATGATTTGATTTTTTTTTGTTTTCCTCTAGATTAATTCTATATTAAATAGTTCCTGAATACAAAAACAAAATTTTATATTATAAGGTGTATTTAAAGAATACAGAATATTTATTAATAGGTACTGTAAATGGAGAATAAAGGTAATTTTTTGTTATTTATGGACTACGATTAATTTAAAAGTTATGTTTACTATTTTATATGTATAATATTTTATAAAATTTTTAAAACCCTCGAAAAATTTAAATCCTTAGGTTTTAACATATTTTTATTAGAAACCTTAAAAAAAGCAACTACACTACCACTGTGACACTACTAAGTATATATGTTTTCCTTTTCAGAGGGACGAACATTAGAACTGCATTCACCTGACGCTGTACACAGTTGCGTTCTCAGAGCCATCGACCCAGGAGAAGCCATTGCCTGGTTTAATACTCTGCATTCAGCCTTAGCCGTCCTCAATACTGCCGCTCTTCATGAAGCATCCAGAGCGATCCCGGATCTGCGGCACATAGGCTGGTTGCTCAGAAGGCCCAGGATGGAGGTAATTGTACGTTATATAATACGATGAAGGAAAGGATAGTGCAACGCGTTGTAACAATTTGTTGTAGATGCAGTTATGTATGAGCTTTTTAATTGTTAAAGCTTATAAAAACATATTTTGTGTCAGAAGAGTATTTAAACTTAGTTCATTGATTTAAGTTTGTTCAAACAATAGTAATTTAAATTAACAATTAAATTAAATAAAAAATTCCAATTATTGGATTCTATACAGTATTTATAAGTATTACTGTATAATAAAATAATTATAAAATCATTATATTATATTATATTATATATTATTTTATATAAATTATTATATTATATCATATAAAAGTTAATTAACTAATAAAACACAAACATCATTGATCAGTTGCGGCTCGTGACCTGTAAAGATGAAGTGCTGCAGAGCGTAGGTATCAACAATTGGTGAAATTTATTTTATAAGTGGATAACGCAACATACAAAAACATAGTTTTTATTTTTTAAACTTTTATTGTTGATACCTAGGCTCTGCTGCACTACCCCACAAGCCGCGCCTGTCATTAATATGAAAAGGCATCAACAATCCATTTTAGGTACAAGTATTAATACATTAAATTAACGCAATTATTGTTAATTAAATGAGTATGAGTATATGAGACGTATAATCGGCCCCATTGCCTCATCACTCCCAGACCCCGTACAGGCCTCTGTTTCCTTCTCCGATTTTGTTTCGCCACCAACAATGTCACGGCTTCACCCGTGTTTGCTGGGTGCGAATGTCCATTGCGTACCCTATTTGGGACTCGAAATGCCAATAGTTTGAAAAGCCTTTCCCGGATTCGCCAGGCCGTTGCTATACGCCCAGTAGGATCATAAAGGAGGTAGGACGGGAGGGATAGAAATTTTGGTGTTTATGGGACAATTCCGCCGACTCAAATCTGCGTACGACGCGGGATCCCCCTAGACTGGGTAGTTAGTATTACAGCAAACATTTACTGTTTGAAGTTGAGGAGTTGTTATTTCGCTGCAGGGGGCTAACTTACTAGTCGTGGTTTACGTCTTGACCATTATTGTCTGTGTCCGTGTCCAAGTCGGATTGTTTCTGTACTTGGTATAGTAACTCAGTTGTTTTCCTTATCTTAGTCTTGTTGCTCCCAACTGTTCTCGTTAATTTGTGAGAAGTCGTGAAACGTGAAGCGTGGTCACCCGACTGTTTTGTCTTGAAGATCTAGTTTTAGGTTGTTTTATAGTATGTTGTTCCGGTGCCTACTGGTGACCTGGGCCTAGTTTTTAGTTGGTTCACCCAACCCGTTTGGTAATGGTTTTTCCCAGGAACAAGTCGTTTAAGTATGCATAGTCCTGTTTTGTCAGTTATGTGTTCCTAACGACTGATTAATTCGTTTATTGCGTCTTCGACGTAGGGTCTGTACGTTCCTAGGGAGGTATTTTTTTTACTTCTACTAATGTGATTACAAAATCGGTTGGTTTGTTTTTTGTAAGTTCTTGGTGTCAAAGGTTTATTTTTGGCCTAGTTAAGTTTAAACACTTTATTTTGTTGGGACCGTCCTCTTAAATTCATGGGTTTACACGTTTGTTATTGACAGATTTATTGTCCTACTCAGCTTTCCTGTGAAAGACCGCAGTAGGGGGGCGGTTTTGGTTTTTTTGTTATTTGGATACTAATGTCTTACTAATGTTACTGATGCACTTTGTTTATTTTGTTTCTACTGTTTAAACAAAAAGTGCCTCACTTAGGGTTTTTAAAGGTACATGTCGTGCTTAGTGTTGCAAATTATGTGTTTTCTAGTATATACGCATAGTGGCGGATTTAGAATTCTAAGGCCCTAGGTGGGCGTCGCTCACTTTTTATTTTTCAATAAATTCGTCTGGAATAGCATTTTCCAATCTTTGTTTATTTGCTTAACCATTCATATCATCTATGTACCACTATGTGCCTATAATAATTACAGGCACATAGTGGAACATAGATTAAGGATGATATGAATGGTTACGCAAATAAACAATTGTAATTATTACTAACATGTAAATACATTTGGTTTTAAAATTTTGTTTTTTAACAAAAAACTTTAATAATATTATTAAAATTGTAATTTTATAATTACAATAAATTAAAATTAGAATAAATTACAATTATTAGAATTTGTAAATATTTGATATTTAAAGTATTTTTCTATGCTGAATCTAGATTCGTTGTTTTTTTTTCCTATTACTTATAGGTTTTTTTGCATAAGCGCTAACTAAGGTTAAGATTGAACAAAAGAATAACTTTTTATAAACATGAACGCACCCATCAACTGCACAGCTTGCTGTTTGCTGTGAGCGGATGTCCATCACAGTTTGCACGGTACCCTTTTTGATGTTCGTAAGCTACATGCCGATGGTTTTAGTGACTCTTCCCAGAATTGCGCCGGGCCAGGCTATACACCCAGAGGGCTAGAGGAGCTGGGAACTTGGAGGGTAGACCTTTTGCTTTTCAAGGGACCATAACACCGACCCAAACCTAGGTACGATGCGGAATCCCCCTACACCGGGGCATTTAGCCACAAGCAGTTGGGGGTTATGCTTGCACTGAGGGGAGCCTACAGGCAAGACCTCGGGTAAGATGCTGCACATGACAAATAAACCTTATTATTTGTCATAGCAGTGTCTTATTATTCTGTGTCTGTATCTCCTTCCCCTTCGGCTTCGAATATTTCCGATATTATTTCCATTTGTTCCCATTGGATATATTAGACATATTAGAAAAGCATACAATCCCTTTCACAGACTAAAGATTTAAAAAAAACCTTTAGTTTTAAATTTAGAAAAAATACAATATTTCAATGATTTTTTGTCGAGTTGTAAATTGTAAAGCGGCATTATAAGCTCTGTATTTATTAAAAAAAATAAAATACGCCTTAAAAAATTGGCGAGATTTCATGAAAATACGGTTTTTTAAATTTATAAATAGGCTCAAGACGTTATTTTTATTTTGCAGTCAAAAATTGGAAGCCAGGATGTTGTGATTTGTATCCTTTGTTTTTATGTAAACCATCCTGAAACTATTCGACAAATCAAGAATTTTAACTGTTTTTGTATTTATTATGTAGAAGTATTAATTAAGTTAATAATAATAAAAATAAATATTAATTAACGGAATATATCCACAGTACAAGAAAATTTTTAAAAAAAATATATATAACACAAAGGCACAAGTGCTCATTCATAATGGACCTAACCATAAGATGTCCATAAAACGGAAACATAATATCACCATAATTTGTACGTAACGATGAGCTGTGTTTATAATGAACGTATGACCAGTGAATAGTGACAGAGAAAAAAGGGCGAATTTCATCGAATAATACTTCACGATGAGGAATGGTTCTTTAGATACACTTTATTATTATTATTTTAATGTGCTTCCAACAGGCACCACGCCCAATTACAGAAGTACACACTGACACAAACAAATAAACAGCCATACCCCTTCGAACCCACGACCTCTCGGCTTGTAGTCTGCAGTGCTAACTACTACACCACTTGAAAAACATCTGTCATCTGTTTGCATGGCTACCACCCTGATTACTACCAACAAGGTTCTAGTGAAATCATCAAAATTACTAAAATTCACACATAAAAAACCCGTATAGTTGAGTTCATTTCAACTTTACGTATTTTTTACGGTCACCCATAAGATCTTATGTTCGAACGTAAAACGTAAAAATTACGGCTACTCATTATAACAGGCACACTGGTTTTGTTAATATTAAACTTTACGTTTTGCGTATTTCTTACGGACATCTTATGGTTACGTTCATTATGAATGAGCAATTACAATAAATAGAGAATCCTAATTTACAAAACAAGGCATAGAGTTTTAAAAAAATGTAAATAATACCAATTTTCCAACCTGCATAATTTACTTATCGACGTGTAATCTAATCGGTAAGTAAATTACATATAATTTGTCCAGAATACCTCAAGTTTATCATTTCTTAAAAAAAAATATGCGAATAGTATTTTTTTAAGTTCTTTCCCTTGCTTTTTTTAAACCACTTCAAATAAAATAATATTTTTTATAAAAATTAGTTTGCGCTTTCTTTTGGAAGCGCAAATTAGTATACTTTTCGGTTGGTTGTAGAAAAAACATATTATCCTCTTTCGAAAAACATGAGCATCTGGTTGCTGTGTAACTCAAGTATTGCTTGGAAAACTAAAAAGCTATAATTTTACAACTAATACTATTAATATCATTAGGTCCTACTTAACAGATCGTGTAGAGCAGGTTAGAGTAAATGGGTTAATGTCTGATAGGGATGTGATTGGCAATGTGGTTCCCCAGGGTTTGTCATTGGACCATTGCTTTTCTTAACCTACGTCAATGATTTACAAAATTAAAACTACACAGCTAATCACATTCTGTCCGCTGATGATACCACCATTAATGTAAATGGAAAAGACAGAACATTTAGTTAATGCGTCCTTAAGTGTACAGTCGAGAGCTACTACCTGGTTTCAAAATAATTATTTGACTTTAAATGAAACAAAAACCGTAAATATCTTCTACGTTGGGTAAACCTACAAATAATCACGTTGCATTTAGCGAGCATGCAAGTTATTATTGATAAACCACTTCAGTGGAACTATCATATAGATGAAGTTGCCAAAAAATTTGGCAAGCACATATATCTTTTAAGTAATCTTGCGAGCGAAGTCTTAAGCAATGTTCTTAAGATAGCCTAATATTCATTGGGTCACTCTTTTTTGTCCTATGCCATATTCTTGTGGGGGCAAGCTGCGGGCTGGAAAATATTATTTTCCCTACAAAGTAAGGCTGTGAAAATAGTTGGTAAACTAAAATATTCTGAAAACTGTAGAACCAAGTTTTCAGAACTTGTTATCCTTACACTGCCCTGTATTTATATACTAGAAATACTAGTGTATACTAAAATAAACATGAATAAATTTTTTGTAAACAAAACCAACTACACAAACACCACGCGAAATAGCAAAATGTTAAGGTTACCACTCTGCAGACAAAAAGTCAGAAGCATATAAATAGTAAAATAAATATTAACTATTAAAAAATGCATTTTATTCAAATGATGATGATTAAAATAAAAATATATTTCAAATCTGTAATATTTGGATTTTTTAAATAAAATTTTAAATTTGTTGATAAATTATAGTAGATTATAAGTTGCACCAATTTAATTTGAATTATCTTAAACAGGGGGGCCAGGAGGCGGGTAAGGCGACACGAAAAACTAACAAAATCCACCAGCCGCCACTGCTATACTCTCTAAAAATAAATTAGTCAAAAATGACTAATTTAATAGTTTTTAGTGGCTAACCAATAATCCCAAAATTCTTATGTAAAATTAACCCCTGAATCCGAAAATGTCGTCAAAAGTTAAAAAAAAGTATACAATATTCAATTTAATATGGAATTGACTATATCTCAAAAACTGCTCCACTTTCATAATTTTTGACAGTATTTTCGGATTCAGGGAATAATTTTACATAAGAATTGGCCGCTTAATTTTGTGATACCATGGTATTCCTTAGTTAACTATGGTACAAGTGAAAAAGCAGCCACTAATAACTATTAAATTAGTCATTTTTGACTCATTTATTTTTAGAGAGTAAGCCATGTAATGCCTATTAAGCCTCTCAAACAGTAAGGAGTTAACCGATCTTCCCCAATATTAACGACTTCGCTCCGCTAAATTGCCAAACATTGTTGTCGGTAAACTATCCGTACTGATAAACATGATAAACAAGATAAAATAAGGCGATTAAATCTTTGTTTTCAATTATAATTATGATTATAATACTAATTATTGTAATCATAATTATTTTAATTACCCTTTTTAAAATTAATCTTTTTTATTCCAGAATAACATGTCAAGCTCAGAAAGTTCCGAAGACATGGATAGGTGGCATTCTGTTTTTGCTGCGGTGACTGATAGTGAACTCCGGTTCTACGAAAGCGCGCCTTGGTCTGGCGATGCGTGGAGAGCGCCAGCTGAAGGATATTCGCTAATTGCGACGAGATTGGTTGGTTCCGGAAAGCGGGCTGAATTGCCAGAGTTTAGCATAAGATGCGCGACTGTGGACGGAGTGGTAACGCACAGTTTGCGTGCCGAAACTCACAGGGATCTTGCAGGATGGGCCAAGGCTCTTGTTAACGGAAGCCATGCTAGTGCAGTTACACAGCGGGAGTTGGTTTGCAGTAAGTTAATTGTTCTTTTATTGGATATCTGCGAAAATAATTATACTGCGTATGTGTGTAATAATTAGTTAGAGATAAGTTTAATAAAATAGAACATTGTCTTCATTTAAAATTAAATAATGCTCGATCAACGGTCATAGATTGTTTAGTTTACTTTTGGGATTTTGATTCTCAAAAATTTAAGCATTTTTTTCTTGCAATTATTTCAAAATTATGCAAATATTTACAGGGTGTAACTAAAATTCTTGGGCACACACGAATGTGATGTATAGAATTAAAAAAAAACATTTAAATTATTTTTTTAAAACTGCTCGTCATTAAAATCGACGCACCTAGTTTTTTGAAAAATATTTAAAAGTTCGTTATTGTAAAATTACTGAATCGATTTTGAAAATCTTTGGAAATTCTGAATAGCTGATTCTTTGATTCTTATGTCTAATTTTGGGAATACGATATTTTGCACATAGCATTATACTACAGGGTGTTAAACGAATAGATGTATTTTTTCCAAAATTTCGAGTTATTCCCATTCGTGAGGCAACTGGTTTTATGGATAATATTTGAAAGCTCGTTATTGGAAAATTACTGAATCGATTTTGAAAATCTTTCGATATTCTGAATAGCTAATTCCTGACTCTTATGTCTTATTTTTTGAATACGATATATTGCACGCATTATACTACAGGGTGTTAAACGAAGAGATCTATTTTTTCCAAAATTTCAAGTTATTCCCATTCATGGGGCAGTTGAGTTTGATAGTCGTAATATCCCTCCCTAATATAAGTAAGGTAATCCTTTGGAACGTTTTCGAGATTTTGTAAATATCGCGGCTTACTACGATTATATTTTTCGAAAATTGTCGTTATTTCCCAGTTTATTCCAAAAAATGAGCAAAAGTGGATTTTTTGATTTACGTCTAATTTTGAGAATACGATATTTATAAAGAGATGTTTTTTTTCCAAAATTTCAAATTTCCATTCAAAAGGCAGTTGAGCTTGATAGTCGTAATACCCCTTCCTAATAACAGTTAGGTTATTCCTCGGGAAGTTTTCGAAATTTTGTGGATATCTTGGCTAACTACGATTATATGGCAATTTTTCGTTATTCTTCATTTTAGTTCAAAAAATAAGTTGATTCCTTGAATCTTATGTCTAATTTTGGAAATACGATATTGTATACATAGCGTGATACTACAGGGTGTTAAAAAAAGAGATGTTTTTTCCAAAATTTCAAATCCCCATTCACAGGGTAGTTGAGCTTGATAGTCGTAATACCCCTTCCTAATAACCGTTGGGTAATCCCTCGGAACGTTTTCGAGATTTTGTGGATATCTTGGCTAACTACGATTATATGGCAAATTTTTGAAAATTAACGTTATTCTCCACTTAATTCCCAAAAATGAGCAAATTACGAAAAGTATCGATTAGTTATCAACACAGCGTTTTAAGATAGGTCACGTGCTTCATTAAAACTGAAATGTTTCACAGAAAAACAATTTTTTTCGGTGAAATTTAAAATAAAAACGCAAACCAAACAAAATTATACTCGTAAACTTATGCAGGCTAAGCTATGTGCACAATATTTTATTCTCAAAATTAGACGTAAGTCAAAGAATTGCTTATTTTTTGGACTAAACTGGGGAATAACGGCAATTTTTTAAAAATTGGCATATAATCGTACGATATTCACAAAATCTCGAAAACGTTCCGAGAGGGATTACCTAACTTATAATAGGGAGGGTTATTACGACTATCAAACTCAACTGCCCCATGAATGGGAATAACTTGAAATTTTGGAAAAAATAGATCTCTTTGTTTAACACCCTGTAGTATAATGCTATGTGCAATATATCGTATTCAAAAAATTAGACATAAGAGTCAAGGAATTACCCATTCAGAATATCGAAAGCTTTTCAAAATCGATTCAGTAATTTTCCAATAACGAGCTTTCAAATATTTTCCATAAAACCAGTTGCGTCGTTTTGTATGACGATTAGTTTATAGATTATAGATTAGGGTGTCCGTTATTTACCAACTTGGTTTTTTTGTTTGCAGTGCCCTCTAAATTTTTAGTTTATGACCTAAAAAGAATTATAAAAAAAACTATTCATTTTAAACCGGGCCACAAAGACGATATTTTCCGTTTAAATAACATGGGGTTTCGGCAAGTTTTACATATATTTTTTTTCTCTGAAGCAAGTTAAAATACAGCAAAAAGTGATACATATTTTTATAGGAAATTGAACGCTGTACAAAAAAACTTTCCTATGATTTTTCGATAAATTCACTGGTTTAAAAGTTATTTAAGGTTAAAATTGAACTAATAGTAATTTTTTCGATTTTTTTACTTTGACTGCAAAGTTATCATTATTTTTATAAAAATAAATTGTTAATTTTTGAAAATATGTGATTTTATGTATTATTGAAAAAGTAAAAATTATTGAAAAGAGATAAGTGAAAATTATTGACAAGAACTTCCGATAAATTAAAAATTGTTTATTACATTAAAGGAATCTGGTACTAGTTTTACTCAAATTTAGAACGATTACTTTTTTACATAATATTTTTATTTCTGTGAAATTTTAAAAAACGCCATTTTAGTTACGAGTTTTATTAGGCACGAGCGAAGCTTATTAAAAACAAGTGTCTAGATAAGTTTATTAAGCGAGTTGCCTACTAAGTATACTTTATCTACGACGAACACAAAAAAGAATTTAAAGCCAATTATTTTGTTAAACATTTGACATCTGTCAAATGTCAATGGAATTAACCTCACTTTTCTCTAATATACAATAAAGCTAATTTCAGCCCGTGACTAAAATTCCCAAAAGCCACTACTTATTGTCAACTTCAGCCCGTGACTAAAGCGCCATAAAGTCACAGCTCGTCAATGTAGAAGTAGAGTAGTAGAGATAATAAAATAATTTTCACATTTAGTATTATTTTACAAGAAAGGCACTTTATTTTAACGATTGTATGACATTTGACAACTGTCAACTAACTTAAAACTAACTTCAGCCCGTGACTAAAGCGCCGTAAAGCCACAACTTGTCAATGTGTATTTAAAAGGTCACTTAGTGTCATGGAAACATGTACAATAAAGGGCGTTTTAAAGGTTGGAGTAGAAAAATACATTTAACTTATTTGAAAAGGATAATTGGTGTAGTGGAAATGTCTGCTCTCATACTCAAGACAACGTATGCGTAACTACGAATTTTATTTTGTCGTAAAAATAATTGTTAAAATAATTTCTACGTCATTAGCTGTACTTTTTATTGTATAATATTTTATAAAATCGTATAAAATTTTGTAGAATTTCAAAGAAATAAAAATATTATGTAAAAAAGTAATCGTACTAAAATTTAGTAAAACTAATACCATATTCATTTAACTTAATAAAAAAAATTGAATTTATAGAAATCTCTTGTCAATAATTTTTACTTATCTCTTTTTAATAATTTTTACTTTTTCAATAATACATAAAATCACATATTTACAAAAATTAACAATTTATTTTCATAAAAATAATGATAATTTTGCAGTCAAAGTAAAAAAATCGAAAAAAATTATTATTAGTTTAATTTTAACCTTAAATAACTTTTAAACTAGTGAATTTATCGAAAAATCATAGGAAAGTTTTTTTGTACAGCGTTCAATTTCAATTTCCTATAAAAATATGTATAACTTTTTGCTGTATTTTAACTTGCTTCAGAGAATAAAAATATATGTAAAACTTACTGTTATTTAAACGGAAAATGTATCTTGTGGCACGGTTTAAAATGAATATTTTTTTTATAATTTTTTTTATAATTCTTTTTAGGTCATAAACTAAAAATTTAGGGGGCACTGCAAACAAAAAAACCAAGTTGGTAAATAACGGACACCCTAATAATTCTTGAATAATAATAACATTATAAATTTCCTGCCCTGGAATATTAAACTTATTATTCACGTTATTAGGCATTAGTGATTGGCAGATTTCAATATTCACTGTGATTTGAACCAATCGGATTTTAAATTAGGAGAAGGCAACTAAATATATTAACAGTTAAAATTGGTTATTTTATCCTTGTGCATAATAGCATTATCTCTCGTATAATATTATACTATTAATTTTTTTATTTGCTAAATTTGGGTTATTCTGACTAATGAATAAGGTAACCGTATTTGGTCTCTATTAGTTTGAATTTGGTTTGAATTATATTGTCAAAAATGGCGAATGCGCCGGGATTACCTATTTTGTTAAATCATACTAGCTACACCTAAATATTATTGTTTTATATTGAATAATATGAATATAAAATATAAATACACTAAATACATTATAAACACACATGCTATTTATTAAATATTACCATAATATAATAATTACCGAAAATCTTTTTAAATATTATATTCTTTAATAATTATAATTATACCTAGGTATGCTGCATTAATTTAATTTAATTATTTATTAATTGGGTGTTCCAAAAGTAATGGGTCACAGAGCAGCAGCATACTCTTAAGTCGTAACAATCCGATTTATTAAACCTGCTCATCCAAAAGTTGATAATAAGATACAAGGTGTCAATGTTTTAATTTTGTTTTCGATTTTTTTCAATAATTTCTCAACAAAACTACAACGTGGTCCAAAATTAGAGATTTGGGGTTTGTTTGAGGCGATGACTACAAATTTGTCCAAAGTTACGGTACAAAACTACCATAATTATTATGCTTTATACTTAAGCTCAATTATTAATACCCTAATAAACATGTTTGCAATAGTAACTATTATTATAGTATTTAATTTAATTACGATAGCTTTTTCTCACAATTTTTTATTATTACGGACCCGACAAAATTTGCCGAGTAACGTGAAATTTTTATAACTGACTATTTAAAAAATCGATCAGTCCACTTTTTACGGCAATTGCTGTCAAAGGTACTTTTTTATAATATTCATTCAGGCGGCCTTGATTTAAAAACATTATTGACGTTTGACACTTAAATAATTGTCACAGT